TTCTACTGGTCAATGCTGGGTTTCATACCCAAACCTATCTTTATGTTGCCTATGATTGCAAGTATACTTACGATCATAGGTATACTGGTAATTTGTTTTACCGCACCAAAATCACCAGGTACGTACTTGTTGGTTTGCATTCTTCATATTCAATAAGATAATAATTCATAGTTAATGCGGTTCTGTTTTACCAGTATTGTGAGTTTTGGTTTAAAAAACTCTAATTGTGATAAAATATTTGATATCGACATATTTAAAGCAAATCATCAAGCGAGAACAGAATTATAAGCATTACAACTGCTTCACTTTTTCATTTCAGATTAGCAGTGACGGATGCGAGCCAATCAAAGTGAATATCGCTAGTAGATTAAATTCTTTTTTCATAAGTCGGACCCCTTCATTTTACTTATTGGTAGTGACTATAGGTTAGAAAAGAATTCCAGAAGGAATCTTCCCATTACCATTTTGCTCTAAAGATAGTAGAACAATAGCTTTCTCCAAGGTAGACATTATTGCGTTTTCTATAATCTTTTTTTTTTCATACATCAATAAAACAGGAATTTCACAAGCTAATTTTTTACAAGCTGATGTTGCACATTGATATTTGTTGTAGAAAAGTCAGCCGTATCGAATGCAATGTTCCTGAATCACTTTTTCTATTATTGTTAGTGGTATTCTTTCACATCTGTGAGTGAAAACAGCAGCTTATCCTGGATGTCTCTTTCACTATTTCATCAACATATTTTGCCATATAGTAGAAGTACGAAAGAATAACATAAAATACAATGGATTTTCTCATAGAACGTGACGAGAGCAGATATTTCTCCTTCACGGAACACATCTTCTCTAAATTTTCTCACTCTATGTTGCTTGCAGACGAGAGTAAGCAGTATATGTGTTCCATCTCTATCTGCTTTCGTTCTGCTAGTATGTTCCGATACAATCGTTTTACTTTTGTCTTTCTGTATGACTCATGTATGTTCTATGTTATATTCACCACTGATTTCTCATATCTTTTCAAATTCTAGCGAATTATTTTCATTACCACGGTTTAAAACAGTCAAATTTTGTATATACATTATAAAACTGAGAAAAATATTTATCACTATTTGTGATTGCACAGATCGCTAGAAATCATTGATTGCTCACTGTATGAACAGCAGTAGAGATAAATAGTTGCATGCTTGTCACTCAAAAACTATCGGTGAACATGCGTTGTCCATATGATGGAATTACTGACAAATACACTAATTATGGTAGGTCGTCTTTGTGCATGATTAGTCAGTCAGTAGATTCACATTCGCACCTCGAGTGTCACAATTTTGTTCATTGTTATTCTCAAGCATCCGTAGCAGACTTTGTTATATTCTGTTTGTTAGTCTAAATTACTAATCTAAAATACTGATCGGATCACTGAGAGAATTACACAACAGAACAGCTTTGATATTCGTTTGATTCTGAAATAGTGTGGCACAACGCAGTTTTTGAATGAATTCTGCAGTAAATGAGAACATGATAAGAGATAAGACGCTTGGTTGAAGAATTTCCATATTTAACTTTATTTGAATTCCAAGAAACTAAGCAGAGTTCCTTGGAAAGATGACGGTTATATACTGTCCCTTAATAGGGTCATATGATAACTACTGACAAAATAGGATAGTAATTGTGATAACTCAAAACAATCTAGTACGAATACTTCTACTGTAGCAAACAATCAGTCATCTCATTCTTGTTCATGTATCGTTTAGCTCCAAAGTGCGGTCTCAATTTCAAAGCAACGGCTCAAAAGCCAATTGAATATAATTATGGTCCACGATCTGTCGCCATCAGCGATTTCGATAATGACTCCGTTTTGGATATGGTTATTGCCAATCATATAGCCAACAACATAGCGGTATATTTGGGAAATGGTGATGGCAGTTTTCGAAATCCAATCATATATTCAACAGGTTCCTACTCTAGCCCATACATGGTCACAATTGCTGATTTCAACAATGACAACCGATTGGACATTGCAGTAGCGAATTTCGGCACTAACAATATCTGGATCTTTCATGGATTTGGGAATGGATCTTTTGCAAGTCAAATAGAACTTTCAACAGGCTCATCTCGTCCGGCAACAATTATTGCCGTTGATTTCAACAATGACTCACTACTTGATATTGCCACTGCGAATTACGGAACTCACAGTGTTAGTGTATTCTATGGATATGGCTATGGAAATTTTTCGCCTCCAATTACGTATTCAACAGGTTATGATTCTCTTCCATCCTCATTAGCTGCTGGAGATTTCAATAACGACAACTATTTAGACCTCGTCATCGTCAATTATGGAACGAATAATGTTGGCGTACTTTTTGGAAATAGTAGCAGAACTTTTGAAAAACAAATCACGTTTTCAACTGGATTTGCTTCTCAACCATACTCAATCGCTATTGGTCACTTTAATGACGACGGATTTGTTGATATAGC